GTTGAATGCAGGTCCAAAACATGTGTTAGGGAACTTGGAATGGTTACAGTAGTATCTCAAACTGATCTAAATCCAAACTCAGCGCACCTGAATCATGCTGTATTTGCTCATCTACCTTAGCTCTTGCTTAACAAGTGCCAGTCGTGATTTATATCATTTTTTTTTTATCTGACATTGACATTCTTTGTATTTTAGCATTCTAAGGCACTATATTTGCATTATATGTGGTACAGCTAGATTTAACTACACTTGAAATGAACTTTGTACATTTTGCTTCCTATAAATGTCAGACTTGGTATGCATTTAACTTGAACATCCACACCCATAATCTGTTTTATTCATCATCTAATGTATAAGAAGTGTACAGATAATGTAAGTTAGCATGTATATGGCTCGGTGGGATTCATGTCTTTATAATATCTGTCTGAGGTCTTATCTTTTGTCATAGTGATCTAAACCATTGTCCGAGTTAAAGTGTCTTCAAGACAAAGGCACTATATACTGTATGTGCTTACTGAACTTGTAGTGTTCGTTTAGGTATCACGAGTTATGAAAGCTGAATCAAAGAGCATTTAGGCTTATGTGAGAAGGTTTTTTGGGGGGGTTTTTTAACACTAGTTCTTATAAAAATAAACTGGTGGGACCTTACCACCAGAACAAACCTGTGTGGACAATGGAAATAAAGTCCCTAAACCAGCGGGAACCAGCTGTGCCACATGTTCATCACTGCAACAGGTCAATTTTTATATTCAGGCTGATAACTCTGACTAGTATTAGTTTCCTTTTGTATTGATTCTGATGATAGTTCAGTTGAGCTAAACAAAATGTCTACAGATTATGACTCTTGCATTGCAGTGGATCATTATGAAATTTACAATCATTGTCATTACCATTTGGTGGGTTTTGAATCTGTCAACAGCATTCTGATACAGAATCTAATTAAAGTGAGTTATTTTATAATAAATAATGCATGTTAACTTGTAAGACATAGGTTTGGTATTTTAAGCTATATTTTATAAAATTTAGGTATGCTATGGCTTTTTTTTTTATAGATTTGCTATGTATTCAAATGTGTTTAAAGCTAAATTATTTACATTTATTGATGTGCACAATATTTCCTCACCTCTGTGTCTTCAGCCTGTATACCTTGCACATTGATATCACTTTTAAACATTAATCTTTGCATATGTATTAACTTCTTTGTGTGCCAAATCATTTTTCACTGTAATTATATATTTTTGTGGTGTAACTGTTACAATGTTTACTTGAATAAAAGAAAAACAACTACACTTTTAAAAGGTGGTGAAATGTGTCATGTTAAAATTGCCCTTAAAAAAACTAAGCAAGAACCAGGCATAACAATACAGCCTGTGGCATTCCTCCTTAAATGTTGTGCTAGCACCCCATCAAGATAGTCCAAGAGTGGCAATGTGGAGTCCCATTTTTCAATGTATCACAGTGGCATCCTCCCCACTAGAATTCGCAAGTACTAGCTCCACCTGTGGTGAGCTCCAGTGACCAATGTAGTATGGGCTTCTCCCAATGTTCATTAGAGGACACAGAAGTCTGTTCTGCAATATGTGAGTATAGCTATGGCCTTTTGGAGGCTTGGACATTATGCAAATTTAAACGTGCAATCTAGTGGCTATACCCTTGCACATAAGCTCATATTAGTTTAGTATCTTAAGGAGCTACGACCTCTGCCACCTGCTTCACCTGATCTTGACTCTAGTTTCCTTTAAAGAACTCTGGGCAAATAAATAAACAAAAAAAAAACGTACCCTCTTAGTGGGGCTACCCCCGCACTGCAAGAGTTTAAACAGAAATATGGTCAAACCTTTTTTGTCCGTAGTTCTCTTTAGGGTCATAGGAGTGACCTTTATTAATGTGCTTCTGTGACCCAAAACTCAGCCCGCTGTAAAACTATACTGCCCACTATATGTTGACAGCGCAGAGCCACACTGCAGCCGTGAAGGATCCCAACGATATTGTGACACGCTGCCTGAGTGACAGTTGACTCTGCCTCTCCCTCCCTATCTGTCCTTCCAGTCAGCGCTGGAGGAATAGAGATGGGGAATCTCTGCCGGGAGTGGTGACTGACAGTCCCCTCTGCAGGAAGAAGATTGTGAACTAAGCAATCAGCAGTTTGTGATCGCTCAGTTCTCACTCAGTAGAGCTGACATTTGACAGCTACAATGTCACACATCGGCTCTAACTATTGGGATGGGTGTATTTCAGTCATCCTATAGTTTTCCTTTAGTGCTCATTTTGGTCTACTGGCTGAAATAAAGCTGTTTTACTTACCTGATCCCACTTGTGCGGCGGTCAGGGCTCACCTCTCTCCTCCTTCGCTCCAGATGTTAAAATGTCCCTCAGCATCCTCACATCTAATCCAGGTCAATTAACTTGCATAAGATGTGATGACATCAGTGGTCCTTAGACTGATGGATCCCAGGGGAGAAGAGAATGCAGGGACCAATGTAGCAGCACGGAGTAATCCAAGATGAGCTAACAAATCTGCTTTATTCCAACCCCTAGACCAAAACTAACACTTAACCCTGTTTTGTTTTTTATTTTATTTTCCCTGAGTTCTTTTTGGCTTGGCCTGGTCCCTTCTCTCATGGTGTTTGCTTTAGCCTGGGTCTTTCAGGCAGTTACTAGCTGGTCAAATAGATTTGCAACTCCTCACTGGAAGCATGTCATCTAGTGGCCTGCATCAGCTCTGCTACTGTTGCTATTCACAGAATTCTTTGGCTAAAAGGCTGGCTTGGCCTCCTTTTTATTAGGGCAAACTCTTTGGATCCTCTTTTGATGAGATCATCAAGAATGCCCTTCCCCAGACCTGCAAGGCTAAGTCCTTATGTGCACAAGCAGTCCGTTTTGTTTGCAGAAGAGCTCCTCTAAACGCGATTGCACCTCGAAGCCAAAAGCCTTTACTGTATCACAGCAACCCTGAAGTTCCAAGTCCTTCTAATCAGCAGATATACACTCTTCAGCATGAGGGTCTGCACCCACCTGTGGACAAAAGGGTGTGAAATTTTTGCTAACCTTTGCAAGTTATCTCCCCTCAAAGATATATTTTGTATTTCCAGGTGTCTGTTTCCCAGGTTTGCAAGACCACCTCTTGTTTTTTTGTTTACTAAGTTTTACAGGGTGGGTGTTCATGACCTCCTCTGATGCCGGCTTCAAGCTGCTTTCTGTGCCCTGGGTCTCTTGACCTTTTTGTTTTATGAATCTGTTGGTGTTTGTTTGCTGTGTTGCCCACCCCTGAATTGTATTTTTTTGGGGACATCCCATGGCTAAGACTTCCCGTTCTGGGTCCTTTTCTATATGATTAAAAAAATAATAGCAGTACAGTACACTGGCCCCTCCCCTTTGTTTCTGTGGTTTCACTTATTATTTGCTAGTCCCCCCCATAATGAAGTTGTATTAAATACAAAAAGAGAACCACAACAGTAATAAACAATCAATCTGTAAACTTGAGGTAACATAGGTAATGTCATGGGAAACATGTCAGAACTCATTTTATTTCCACTGGGCCTTAAAAACCCATATTTGCTTTATTACTTGGAGTTACATAATTTCACACTGCTTTATTATATCATTAAAGCCAGGGAATTTCTGACCTGGGAAGAGATATTAGAATGATATGAAGCCCCTTGGACAGGATACTTTTTTCAGCTTAAAGGAGAACTATGACATGAGTGATTTCCACTCACGTCATAGTTCTAAGCCGACCTGTGACAATGAGACTGTCACAGGTCGGCTCAGTAGATCGGGAGGTGAGGGAAAACATACCGGGTTCCCTCACCTCTCGATCCTGTCACGGCTCTCTGCCGTGACAGGGGGAGGGGCT